TCTGAAGCAGCTCCACGCTGAGTGTGGTGCCTGATGAGGAGCCTGATCTCATGACTCCTGAGTTTATGACCTGAGCTGAAACCAAGAGTCCGCTGCTTAACTGTGCCACCCAGGTACCCCAATTAACACATATTTTGTATGTTATATGTATTATATACTGTATTCTTAAAGTAAGCTAGAGAAAAGAAAACGTTATTAAGAAAATCATAAGGAAGAGAAACTGCACTTATAGTACTTTACAGTATTTATTGAAAAATCCATATATAAGTAGACCCATGCAATTCAAACCTGTGTTGTTCAAGGGTCAACTATATATTTAAAAATGTGATCTCATCCAGATATCTAGGTGGGAAAGGAAAAAGTCTATTAGTAGACCTTTAGGTAATTGTGGATATTCTCCTTGGTACCATATCAGAACTTGATAAGTGGAAGTCTTAAAGATTATTTGCAATGTGGAATCTGAAACCATATCAATAAACTTTCTGGCCTCAGTTGCATTGAAAAATATCCATCCAACTTGCAGTTTCAGTGGATCTTTTACTTGTGCATAATTTTGTAATATTGTGCATTAGGTCATTTGAAATTACCAGTTCACTGAGTTATGCAGATCTTCCAAATGTTGACACATCTCATTATATATTAAAAAATCTTTTTTTTAAGCAAATACCACCATTCTCATCAGAAAGATCCTTAAACATCAGGAAGCTGTCAAAGTCATGATAGCAGATAAAAGCTTTTTTTTTTCATTTGTTTCTTAATATTTTTTTTTATTTTCAGCATAACAGTATTCCTTGTTTTTGCGCCACACCCAGTGCAGATAAAAGTTTTTAAAAATTCTTATTTTTATTTGAAAGCCTTAACTTTTTATCATTGACAACAAATACTGCCAGTTGTTTTCCTTGAGGTAATAGGATTACTATGTTCATTCTTAAGAAAAGCACTCAAGTCTGAGTAGCCACAGCAGGTCTGCCACCTGTTCTTTCAAGGCAGTCCATGAAAACGGTGGCTAGGAGACTGGATGGCTGAGTCAGTTGAGTCTGCCTTCAGCTCAGGTCATGATCTCAGGGTCCTGGGATCAAGTCCCCTCATCGGGCTTCCTACTGAGAGGGAGAAGCTCCCTTCTTCTCCCTCTGCCTGCCGCTCCCCCTGCTTGTGCTTTCTCTTTCTCTCTCTCTGACAAATAAACAAATAAAATCTTAAAAGAAAAGAAAAGAAAAGAAAAAGGTGGCTAGCTCAGCTTTGTAACTCAAACTGTTTTTCCTTGCAATAACCACCATACTTTGGTATTCAATAGAAATAATCTATGTATACTTCCCATTTCATCACATGGAATGTTTAAACGGACACAGTCTCAAGAGCCAAGATTTAATAAAATTTACTACTTCACCAAGGACATGCTTAAATGAACTTTTTTTTTTTGTACCATCAGTGCAAATGTCAATGCAGTGAAAAGAATAATGTCTCATTATGAAAACGGTGACTTTTGCATGATCACTATTTGACCTTGCCTTGACCGCATTTGAAGAACCACGGGTCTATTCATTATCCTTTTCCAGCCACCTGTCTGGACTCTGTTTGCTATCATCTTCTCTGTGACTCTGCATATATTGTTCCTTTTGTCTACAATGTCTTTCCCAAGCAGCGGGAAAAATCCTATCTGTCTTTTAAGAACTGGTTTGTATTTCATTTCTGAGAAGTCTCTTTTAAGCTGATCTAATCTCTGTGCTTTATGCTTCTATACCATGACACACATACATTGTTTTAGCATTTATTATATGGAAGGCAGAGGGGCTACTGACATCTTAAAGCACCCAACCTATGCCAGACCCTGTGCAAAGTCTCGTACGTATTTTCCCTTTATACCCTCAAGCTAATTCCAGTGATAGGTGTCATTACAATCACTGTCCTCTGAAAGACTGGACAGAGAGCTGAAGTGAAGTCAAAGCCAAACCTGTTATTTCAGCAGTGTGATGATCTTTCCCTCATCTGCCCCAATGGCCTATATAAGGCACAGTTAAGACACTCATTTTTTGTTGCCTGAAGAGTCAAATAAATGAATGGAATAACAATCTAATCCCATAACAGAAGGCTCTACAAAATCTCTTATCTTTTAGGGTCTGGCCTTCAGTTGAGTATTTTTTTATCTCTTATAGTTTGGATTTGGAATCTTCATTACTTATAGAAAAACGTGAATTTTCATTTCTTCCAGCAGTATGTTCCCAGCCACGGCATGCTATTTTAATGATTACACTGCCATCAGGCTGGAAACACAAATATTGACATTTGACAGTAACATTTTTCCCTTTCTAAGTTGCTTCAAGTAAATATCAATGGTGTATCCAAGTAAATTAAGTAATTATTAAAAAAGCAAATGGTGTATATTTTTCAATGAGTATCCATGTTTAGTCTAAAACAAAACTGTTTAAAACCCCGTTTTCTGAGACAAATATGAAATGTGACAATTCTAAGGTGTCTCTAAGAAAACCTTAATACCTCAAAAATGCTCTACTTAGAGGACAGCACATTAGCTTTAGATTCTGAATGGTGGTGAGATCAGTGGCTCCCAAAGTGTAACCCCAGGGCCAGTGGCCTCAGTATCACCTGGGGACTTGTAAGAAGTGCAAACTCTCAGGGCGACAGCACCTCAGACCCACCACATCAGAAACTTTGTGGGGCCCAGCAATCTCTGCTTTAACAGCCCTCAAGTTACCATGATGCACGGTTAAATCTGAAACCAATGTGGCAAACCAACTGCACTGCTTTGATTCATAGATGTTACCTTTTTTAAAAAGATTTACTTATTTGAGAGAGAGAGAGAGAGAGAGAGCGAGCACACATGGGGGTAGGAATAGAGGGAGAAGGAGAAGGGAAGAAGAAGGGAAGCAGACTGCCCGCTGAGCGTGGAGCCCACCTGGGAGCCCAACCTCAGGACCTGAGATTGTGACCTGAGCCCTAACCAAGAGTTGGGCACTGAACTGACTGAGCTACCCAGGCGCCCCTCATGGCGTTACTTATCAAGAACTGATGAATTTTGGAAAATATGACTGGCTCATGTACAAGCAAATCCGTGAAAATATAAGCTATACAGTAAGGGGTCTGCTGTGCCAAGGGCCTGGGCTGTCCTCAGGCCCACATGCAGTGGCAATGCAGCCACAGTAGAGAATCTCATTCCACAGAAGAGAGGCCAAATCATTGCTTGGCTCTTCCTTCCAGAATACAGATAAACACGCCACAGCCCTACTTAATGAGGAGTGAAGCCATTTACTGATCTGCGAGAACTATCTGACATAAGTAACTCCAACCATGTGCTGTTTAAATTGCTTTTTTCCTAAATAAAACAGTAATCTGCAATACATGTGTTTTATTACCACTGGAGTATGATATTCTATCATCCACTTTCAACTATCAATGACAAGACTACTCTTTCCAGGAATATATTACGACTATTCTACTTGCTTCACTATTATATGGATTTAAGGAAAACAGGAACTTGCTAGCATTTTGACAACTATTTTGGGGTTATATAAAAAGCATATTTTCGTAAAGAATATATATATAAAACTTCTTAACATTTTGCTAGAAAGGGTGAAGGCATTAAGTATTCATCTTAATTTTTATCTATATTGTTCTAACAAAAAGCTAGTCTTATGAGAAGATCTATGCTTTCATAAGAGTTTGCCAAAGAAAGGGCCAGCCCTGGTAGAGAAGGCTTACTATATAAGTAAGAGGAAGGCAGACTTAGAATCAGATGAAAGAAATACTCAGGGCATATCTCTGCTTAAAAATAGAAAGTACTGGGTGCCTGACTGGCTTAGTCAGTAGAGCATGCAACACTTGGTGTTGGGGCTATGAGTTTGAGTCCCATGCTGGGTGTAGAGGTTACTTAAAAATATAATCTTGAAAAAAAAAAAAAAGTACAGGGGATATAAGGAAATCATCCCATCTGTTACAAACTTGGGATAATAGTTCTTATTTTTATTGGCAGTTCGTTAATTTTGCTTACAATACAAATGAGAAACAAAAAACTTAAGCTTCCTAAACATGAATGTTTATATGAATGATTACAAGTGAAAATATAAAAATCTTGCTTGCTCTTGTGTTTGTGAACAGTGCAACACTGTGGGAAGAATCCAATGAATCAGACAGACCAAGTTTGATTTCTGGCTTTGTCAACTGCGAGCGACATGAATATGCTTACTTCTTAACTTCTCTGATCTTCAATCTCCTCATCGGAAGAATACAACCAATTTGTAGGGCTGCTGTATGGATGGGAGACAAATCCTGGGAATGTGATCACGAACACTTATTTGAGAAAGGAAATGAACAGCTACAGAATGGAGTGGATGTGAATGGGTGTGCCCTTGCCAGCTGCCATCAGGATTCTCCTCCTGGCTGGGTCTCAACCTCAAGGACCAACTTCTCCTCTGTCGCCCACGTGTTAAATCATTAAACTGCTGGCCCTGTCTCCACTGCACACTCCCCTCCCCCTTTTCCACAATACTTAGGAAGGAGACACACAATAAAAACCCAAATATTCCCTCAAAACAAAGTAATGCATATAGAGCTAACACCTTGGTGAAAACCAAAATGAATGGCTTGAGGAGCTTTATTCCATCTACAGTGAGGGTAAGAAGAGTGCCACCATTTATTCATTTGATCCTGTTTCTTCCTCACACTATCACAGGATTTCAAAGCAACGTATTATTTACTGCTATTAAGGTGTTACGGATTTGCTTTTCTGTGTTCAAGCCCCTTTCCATTCACCAGAATGCAGCAGGCTACTTCAGCTAAAGCTCCAGGGCCATAAACCTTGCTCGGTACAGTAAGATCACTTTAATAATACTGTAATCTTGGAATGCAGTTATAAAGATAGATGATGGCCACCGAGTGCTACTTATAAACATAAATGGCTCTTATATAATCTCAAAGATGTAAAAAAACTTAGAACATAAAAATGTGTTAAAAATAATTCCCACACTCTGCCATTCTATTTTACATACCTGAGAATTTTTTTAGGAACCTGTGATGGAGAAGAAGGACTCCTTTTCTTCTTCTCTGAGTCCTTCAGTAACCCATCCTCTGCCCCATCCTTCTCTCTGACGGCTGCCTGGTCTGCTCTGGCCTTCTGATCGGCGCTGGGCTGGCTCTGGGCAGCATCACACCTGTACATGAAGACAATGGCTGCCTTCTCACTGGACTCTCCTTTGGCCTCTGTGAACCAGTGATGGCGCTGGACGGGAGGCGGCGGCAGCATGTGGATGACTGTGCCATCCAGGCCCACCAGTTTTCCTTTCTCTCGGTCTTTTTCTTTATCCTCTTCCTCATCTGTTTTCCGGCGGCGGAAGAAGCTTTTAAATGATATCCAGCGCTTAGGTTTCGCGTCAGCGGCCCGCCTGCTGCCTTCAGAGTGCAAAACCGATTCAGCTTCTGTTGACCTGGTAGGACTGGTGGGCTTGGTCCAGTTGGTGAAATGCCTTTGCAGAAGGTTGCTTGCATGATAAGGGGAGGAAGTAGAGCGAGGTGGGGGAAAGGGAGGTGGTGGCTCGCTCTGGGGGTTGGCCACTAATTTGGAGAGAGGGCTGGTGACCGGCTTTGTGAGCGGATCTTTCCGTGCTTTGGTCGTTGGGCTTTCTATGATCTGCGGGGCTTCAGCTTCAGCACCGGGCTGAGCCGTGAAGAGAGATTTGGGTCGGGCTGGTGTACTCTTAGGGGTACTCTTAGCATCGGCGTCTGGAGGAACTGCGTACAGCTCTTCCACGCTGCATGCTTTCGGGCCGGACTGGGGCATTTCTGGAGGGGACTGCGGGGGCTGGATAGAAGCCACAATCTGAGAAAGCACCGTGCTCGCTTTCTCCCTGCTGCTGCTGCTGCTGCTGCTGCTGGTGCACGTCATCGGAGACTCCTGAGGGCCTTCGGTTTTGGCCCCAGGTTCTTGAGTGGTTCTCTGGATCTTTGTTGGGGAGCTGTGGCTAGAACTATAGCTTTTCTGTGGTGAAGACTGACCTCTGTTAAGACAGCTGTTAAACTCCTGAACCTTTTGAGCCACTGAGCCCCTTTTATGCTCTGTGCTGTTGGAAAACCCTTTGGCTTGGGGACAGTCAGTAGGTTTGCTGGTGCTGTTATCGGACACTTTGCTGTCAGTTTCGATTTCTTCATAAGTATGGCTTATTATACTGGTGGTTTTTTCCTTCACCGAGAGTTCTCCACTTGTTCCGAGAAAACTTTTGTAAATGGCTAGATTGTCATACGCATTTGGATTGATGACAATGGGGACTTTGATGGCATTTTTGGAACTCCGAGCATAAGTCGGCTCATCATGAATGATAATTGGAAAAGGTGGCATACCAGCATTGTTGTAACTATTGAATTTTATTTCGGACAGATTGGGTGACTTAACGGGGATAGTTTTAGAGGAAATGTTTGTCGTTGTAGGTGAAGTGGGTGCTGATTTGTGACAGTTTTTCCTCGGAGGGATGTTTGGCCCAGTTCCACCGCTAACCAGTTCCACCTTGGGTATCTTTTGTCGCGGGCTGGTGCTGGAAGTCCATACTTCCTGGTATCGTATTGCACTGGAGTTTTGGAAACGGGCACCTGTTTGTCCTGATGTCAGCGCAGGCGATGTCACCGGAGAGTTTGGAGTAGAAGATGAGATTTTTGTCTTGGGGCTGTTAACAGGGCCCTCGAGGTGCTCACTGGCCATGGCTGCCGACACGTCCACGATAGTATATGGCTTGCACAATGGCTGTTCCAGATTGACAACTCGGTAAGGCTTTGCTTGCTCTTCCACGGGGACGAGGTTTATGGTTATGGCTTGGCCAGCGATATCTGTAGAGGCTTTACTTTCTTGCTTCTCAGTTTGTACAGCAATCTTGCCATCCTTCTCTTCCAGTCGGAGAGCAAGGACGGCTTTGTGTGTTTCTGGAACTTTTACTGAGCTTTTAGGTGCTTGTGAGGAGTCCTTCTCCTGACTATTACCAGAGAGACTTTCACAATTGGGCTCCCTTTCCTTCATGTCCTTAGACTCTCCGGGGTTACCCGGAGATACTCCCCCATTACAGATCTTCTGGGATAAACTACTGGCTGTCTCAGAACGCGATTCTTCTGTTAAAGAAGAACCTGGTGACGCAGAGTCAGAGGACGCCATGCTCTGAACGCTTCCTGGTCCATAGGAGGCCACAGAGTTTTCTTCATAGCCGTTTAAGATTTCGTCATAGCTGTCATCATAGTCGACAGCACAGATCCTCTGCAGGGACTTATTTCGCAAGGGGACTGTATTCCATTTTTTGTCCACAAAGAATCGAACGGGAGACAAAGTATTTGCCCGGAAGTTAGCAAAGCGGGGTTGCCCTCTCATGCGAATCTCCATGGCCAACAGCTCTTCATCGCTCTCATCCCAGCTCTCATGCTCCTCCTCCATGTTACTGAAAAGTTCATCTTCTTCACTCTCCTCGCCGCTAGAAAACTCTGGGTAACAGAACCGGCCCCCTTCATTACTGATCACTTCTGTGCTCCCACTCAGAATCACGTGCTTGCCTTGAGTATCCTTGATCCCACCCATCATGCAACTCGGTGGAAGCTTTCTTTCCAGTGATCTTTTATAGCAATCATTTATTCTTCCTAAGAATGTTTCTCTGGAGTTTGTTTCATTTCCTCTTATCTGAGGGGTGGCATCCAAGCCTACTATCTCCTTTAACACATCCGTTAGTCCATTATTGTTATTTGATACCTTCTTTGCACTATCATTATTGCCATAAGGCTTAGGAACATGGCTAAAGCCTTCAATGTCATCTTCATTATTATTATTAAGTGGTTTCTGATTCAAGGGCGTCCTGTTTCGGTTCCATCCTATGATGACAGGTTTGTTCTCACAGTGTTCTTGGATACTAAGTTCACCACATACACTTTGCCCATCTGCCACCATCATAGTGGGCTTCACAGCTATAGTGGGTTTTTTAGCCACAGGAGGACGGAAATTTCCAGTGTTCCTCATGCGGTGGTTGTTACTGTGATTGGCATTAGTTTTCACATTGCCATGGGTGATGGGTGCCTTCTCAGGGTCTGGGGGAAGCTGGTGCAAGCTTTTAGGTTTAAAGCAGTTCTTGCATTCACCAGGTTTCCAAACGTGTTCAGTAAAGGTGTTACAAGCAGACATTTTTAAAAAAGGACCTTCACAGACAATGCTTTCTTTTCAGTGCATGGTAGTAAAACTTTCGTCTATCAGTTTTCACCTCCCCTTGGTACCATAGCAGTTCTTGTAGGTATGATCAATCTGTGGGGGGAGGGAAAAAAAGAAAATCTAAATGGAAAAGGCACTATGAGGTCTTAAATCAGATGAATGACTTAAAACAATTGGCTCCACTCCTCAACTTTTCCTTAAATTAAAAGATTGAGAGAGAAACTAATTTGGGCACTTTTCAAACTCCCTTTAGCCAATCAGCATTCTGGAAAGTTCATTTTGCAGCCATAATTTTGTACCCTCTCATTGAACTATATATAATCTTTCCCTTGATGTCTATGTGGCAATGATACTGTGACCTTGCCCTTTGGGAGTGTCTTTGAAACTGCTCTTTTTAAGATCTCCCAACCTGTCTGACACTTTGTAGTCTGCTGAAGGTTCTTCTTCTTCTACCTAGCCTTTTAATTTTTGGGTACCTCATAGACTCCTCAATCTCGATGCATTCAAAACAAATCCTCTGGCTATCCCTTTTCTCAACTTCAGGAACCTTTTCTACTCTAACCAGCATTCCCCTCTACTCCCTAGGCCACCTCCTTCCTCTTCCTGTACCTTATTTCAGTTATGTCATTATCATCTACTTAGATAGCTAAGCTCAATTCCTGACATCTCTTCCCTCACGTCTAACTCCATATCTTACAAACTCCTTAAATTAGTCTTGTCAATTTGGTCTATTACATTTCACTGGAACACTTTCTTGCCAAACCCTGCTAATAGTTCAGAGACTCGCCATCTTTTGCCTAGATCCCTGCAACAGGCTCTCAACGATCTTCATGCCTGCATCTCACCCCATTCCAACCCAACATTTCTACATTGGCTACTCAAAGTGTGGTCCTCGGACAAGAAATACCAGCCTCATTTGGGAATTTGTTAGAAATGCAGTATCTCAGGTGCAACCCCCGATCTACTGGATCCGAATTCATATTTAATGAGAGTCTCAGGTGATTCTATTGTTCTATGTACTACTATCAAATTCATTCCTTTCTAAAATTAGCATTTTCTAAAATGCTAATATGCTCAACTTATTACCTGCTTAAGTATTTGGTGGCTCAATCTTACCTAATGCACTGACTTCCAAATGTCAGTGTGCAGACTAGGGGCTACCAGGTAAATAAGAACCACTCAGGGAAGCACCCTAGACCCACCTAGTCAGTCTCTGAGGGAGGACTCCAGGAATGTGATTTTTTAACAAGTTCTCCAGGTTGTATTTTTTGGGTTTTTGTTGTTGTTGTTTTTGTTGTTGTTGTTGTTTTTTAACAAGTTCTATGTGCATTAAGGTACTGGAACCTCTGAGTTATAGGATGGGATGGGAGATAAGCCCCTTAGGTTTTCACGATATGGTCCTTGCCTCCCTTCTAGCCTTATGTCTTAACAATCAACTTGTCTTATTATACTGTAAATCCCACTGAGCTACTCATTTCCTTGGTACTTTGAAAGTCACTTAGACATAGCTCCATGAACAAGCACTTTCATTTTTAATTGTCTGTCTCCCTACTAGTTTTTGAACCTCTTCAAGGTCTGGGCTATATCTTATTCATCTCAATACATCTAACATAAGGATCTGAATAAACACCGGTTGACTAAATGTGCTCATTTATTTAAAAATCAAACAAACAAATCGTGTGACCGACTCTCTCTTTTGTCTTAGGCACATAGCTGCGGACTTCCCCACAGAACATCACTACAGTGTTGCACTTCTAATTTGGATATTATAATAGAGTTGGCAGTGGGCATGTTCATATAAGAACTATTTTAATGGCTGAAGAGTTTAACTTTATGCATGTACAAGGACAGCAAAAGGATCCTTTATTTGGTCAGAAATGCAGTCTTTCTGCTGAGTTTCAGCACATGTAAAACGAAGAAAAGAATATTTTCTTCCGCTCGTGGGTGTGCGTGCATACACCTGCACACAGAGCTAAGTCGCATGTGAATAATGTTCATAAAGTCCTCTGGCTCAGTTGAAGAAGTACAGACTTAAAGATCAAAGGATTCCACACAAGAGAGCACAACAACTGGGCCAAAACCCAAGTTCATTCTTTGCTGGAAATCATCAAATGGTTCTTTTCAATATGGTTAAAATATATTTTTCAAGCATTTGTTTGGAAACATGTGTTTAGTCTTTCTGATATTCTAAAAGCTATTCCTTAGTTGATAAAAACATTTCCTGCTAGTCTGAGATTGGAACGTTTTGAGCAAAGGGGAAGAAAGGCATAAAATTAGGCTGAAAGGGAGAGCAGGGGCCAGATCATGCAGGGCCATTTATGCTTTGCAAGATTACAGAGTTTATGCTAAGAGGAGTGGGAAGCCACTGAAGGGTTTTAAGTAGGGGAAGCAACAGATCCAATTTGCATTTTAAAAAGAGAACTCTGACCCCAAAACATGAAATACTTAGGTCTAAATCTAATAAAACATGTGCAAAATCTACAATCTCTATGCGGAAAACTACAAAGCACTGATAAAAAGGTATCAAAGACTTAAATAAATGGAGAGAGATACCAACTTCTCTCAGTATTCTTAAGGTGTCAATTTTCCCCAAATTGCTCTATAGATTCAGCATAATTCTAACAAAATCCAAGCAGGATTTTTTTGGTAGAAATCAACAAGCTAATTCTAAAATGTATTCAGAAAGGCAAAGGAAAACTAGAATAGCCAAAGTAATTTAGAAAAAGAACAAAGTTGGAGGGCTCACATTGCCTGACTTCAAGACTTAGCATAAAGCTACAGTAATCCTGACAGTGGGGTATGCTCAAAGGATGGAAACAGAAATGGAGAAAGCAGGGCAAGCAAATACTAGCCTATAGGCTGAATCTAGCCTGTCCCGTTTTTGTATGTCCCTAAGCTAAGAATGCTTTTAAAATTTTTAAATGATTGAAAAATTCAAAAGAATGGTATTTTGTGACAAGTGAAAATTATATGGAATTCCAAACAGAGTGCCCTTAAGTAAAGGTCTACAGGGACATAGCCCATTTGTATCCATTCCCTCTGTGGTGGCTTTGTGCTATGATGCAGAGTTGAGAAGTTCTAACAGATGGCAGGCAGCACACTCGTCACCTCGCAGTACTTTCCAAGCACCTACGGACCAGCATTTCTGCTGCTACATGTTTCACCCACGTGAAAAGATATTTTTCAAAGATAAAAGTATGTCAAATTTCACATTAATAGATGAACTTTGTAATAAAGTTTGAGAAGAAACACTAACTTAGCACCCACGTTAAGCAAAATGTCATCCTTCTCCCAAAAAAGAGTTCCATTCTTTGGATTAGTAGAGCTGCATTTCAGAAAACTGTACTCAATTATTACATTTTGAGTTTTTTTAAAAAAAATTCACAGAAAGTTGTTTTCTCTTATTGAATGAGTACTTACACAATATCTTCAATTTTGCCTCTTGGCCTGCAAAACCTAAAATATTTACTATCTAGTTCTTTACAGAAAAAGTCTGCTGACCCCTGACAGATTAAAATAAAACAGAACAGAGTCCAGAAATAGGACGATACAAATATAGACAACTGATATTCACCTCCAGCAGTGAATATTCTTTTCAACAAATGTGCTAGAACAACGGGATATCCATGAGCAACAAAGTAAACCTGGATTCATACCTCACACCTCTTACACAAAAACTAACTCAAAATGGAGCAGAGAAGCAAGTATAAAGTGTAAAGCTATAGTACTTTTAGGAGGAAAAAACAGGAGAAAATCTTTGTGACCTTGAGTTAATCTGAGTTCTCAGATACAAAACAAGAAGCACGATTCATTAAAAAAAAAAAACACAAGTGAACAACAACAACAAAAAAACCCCCACACAATTTGGATAGTATCAAAATTAAAAATGTTTGCTCTGTCAAAGATACTGATAAGAGAATGGAAAGATAACCCACAGATGAGACTTTTTTGCAAAGTACATATCTGACAAAGGACTTTGTATCCAGAACATATGAAGAACTTTCAAAATTCAATAAAAAGAAAACAAATCTCGTTTTAAAAAATAGGCAAAAGTTTGGGCGGACACTTCACCAAAGGTATATGGATTGCATATAAACACGTGAAAGATGTTAAGTATCCTTAGTCGTACAGAAACGCACATTAGAACGGCAATGAGCTACCTACCTCTGTGCACCCACCAGAATGGTTAAAATGCAAACAAACAGGAAAAATGACGCTAGGGAAGATATGGTACAACTGAAATTCCCATGGCGCTGGTGGGAATGCAGACGGCACAGCCACTTTGGAAAAGAGTTTGCAGTTTCTTATAAAGTTAAACATAAGCTTTCCAGGGGACCCAGCAGGCTCACCCCTAGGTATTTACCCAAGACGAATGAAAAGTTATGTTTCCCCTGAAGCATGTGCACAAAGGTTTATAGGTAAAAACCCGAACAATCCAAATGCTGTGTGGTGGTGGTTAGATGACTACAAGCATTTGTCAAAATTCAGAGCATTCTACACCAAAAAACAAGATTTATTACTGTATAGCAATCACACCTCAATACATCTGACTCAAAAATAAAAGAGCTCTGGCTGCCGATTAGAGAATAAACTGGGGAGAACAGGACAGGAAGCCAGGAGACTGTCCAAAGGCTGTTATGGGCAAAATGAGATATGATGAGGATCTGAATTAGGATGTGGCATCAGGGAAGGCGGAGGAATGTAGTGCACAAATGACTAGATTCTGGAGAGAGTAACAGATGTTGAGATTTTGGGGTTATGTATTTAAATGATTTGTGGGGCCATTTACTGAGATAGACAACGTTGGAGGAGGTGCAACTTTTCGGGAATAAGGTTACTAGTCCATACTTTGTTGCCATATACTAGAGGAAGCAGTTGAATTTAGAAGTCTGGAATACAGAAAGGAATTCTGCTGTTCTTGTCTGTTGGGAAATTACTGTAGGAATATCTAGGCTACTAAGAAACTAGAAGGTGGCTTTCATGGGTAAACCAGGGAGAAGAGAAGAGAAGAACCTCTGAAGAAAACTCAAAAGTAACAGTCATAATAGGGATGATACACAAGCCGGATGAGGAGATTTCATTAAAGTGGGAGA